AAGTAAAACAACAAACATGTACAAGTTTGTCACCATTAGAATAATGAATATGTTATACACGACCCAAATGTATTTTATGCGACCCACGTCTATGAAAACTCTGATTACTTGAAGAAGATGAAATGGGAACATAGTGATAGCGAACACAATCACCACCGGCACAAGGATTTTAAGAGCTTTTGTGTTTGCGGTTTCGAATTTTTTCTTTCTTTCTCTCTTGTAAGAGCCAACCATGTTATGCATTTTTTTGTGGAGTATTTAGCTGTCGCGAATCTTGCATGCGATCTGTCGGTACGCCCATAGAATCAAAAACAGTGGTATAACGTACCAAAAAATTGCCATCGAAAACTTGTAACCGGCTTCGGTGGTACTACTTGGAAACTCTGGAGCACATTTAACAGTGCCGTTGCTTTCTTTGTATTCCATCACCAAGTAAATTGGAAACGCGGAACTCATGAAGCTTGTAATCCAAATAGCCAGTATCACCCATTTTGCAATCGTCCTCGACCTGTATGCTGTCATTCCACGAACAATTGCCGTGTGGCGGTCTATTGCTATGGCAACGATGGACCCTATGGAAGCGCACGGGAAGATCTCCGTAAACGGGTACACAAACTTGCATACAAACCTTCCGAGCGGCCAATTTTCAGGAACAGCGACTTGCTCAAAAGTCAGCGGATAACTAATGGCCAGTACACCGATATCTGCGATAGCCAAGTTGAGGATGTACTTGTTTACAGCGGTTTTACTAACGCGGTTGGCTCCTGTGATAATAACAACCAAAATGTTACCCAGAACTCCAATGGAGCAGATTATAGCACTCAATGTAAGGAGAAGAGTAACGGCGTATCTCGGTTCCAGTTCAGGACTCGAGCTGCCCGATAGACTTGCGTTGGGGTAGCTTGAGTTATTAGGATAATTCATCCTTCTAAGAACAGATTGTCGAAACGTGTAATGTTTACTGGAGGCCAACAAACAAGAACTTGCTTACTTCACTCTGAAAAATAGACAAAACTACGGATGAATATGTAAGATATATAACGAAGTCTCAAAATGATACCGTAACTCGACAACTTTTAGGAAAAAAAACACCTTCAAAATACTTAACAAATATAGAGCGAACTGCAATGAAGAGTTATAATTGAAAATATGCAGTTTATATTTTCTTGAAACATTAATGAAATAAAAGATAACTATTAGGAAAATTTGACTTGATATTTAAAGAATAACCTTCTTGGAAATGGAAAACCTCGTTGAAATTCTAGCCTTTGCATTACGAACAAGGCTTTTAAAAGCCGCCAACAACATTGAAAGATAACTATTCAGTTGACTCCTTTCAGCACATGTTGTTATTCAAAGAATATTAAAATTATACCTTCATGCCGAATCTCAAAATCCTCTATAAAAGTTAACAATCAAGCGCGCGGTGGTGGTGCACTTTTTAGATCAGTGGTGCTTTCTGTACATGTAACAACGCGCACTCTAGTTCGGTGAACGGATCGTTTGTAGGTTGTCAGTGCCTTACCAAAGATTCCATTCTCCGAGATAGCGATAACTTCATTAGGAGTACCTTAAGATAATAATGATTTTAGGAGGCCCTTACGCTTCGAACATTTGTATCGCCACCCCGGGCTAAATCCTTACAGGGGAAAAATTTGTATCTAAAAGCAATTACAAGCTCTAACAAATGAGCAAATAATGAGGGATTGGTGCCGATCTTTAGGGGAGAGATAAGAGGGAACCCGAAAGTCGTCGACAGCGGCTGCATTCCAGACAAACATAACCGTAGGTTATAACCAAAGGATTGGAACATGTTCAACTCATTGCGACAAGATGAGATTCGACAAAAGAGAACACTAGCGCTATTATGGTATCGACTCAAGTCCAAATTTCATGTCTGGATTAAATAAATCAGTGGGCCAGTTCTGACAGCATTTCGTTACAGCTCATTGGTTGCAATCACCATATGAAAATGTTCTGC